CAGGCGTAGAATTGGAGATTTTAGAGTGACAGACTAAAATCCCCAATTCGGTCCTATCGTTTGGGTGATGATGTGTAGATGTTAGCCCTCAGGTGAGGGGAACGTGGGAGCTCCGAAGTGAGCGCCGGTATCCTCCCAGCCTAGCCGCTGAATCAGTAACCAAGCATAGGATTAGTCAATCTTCTTTATGTTTGGATCGAAGGGTAAAAAATATGCATGCTCCTATTTAGCACAATATAAATTGAACTAATTCATTTTATCCATTCACTATAATTTCTTGAGAAGAGAATGATGCTTTCTTATATATTGAATATCACAAATTAAACCCTACTTTATATCATTAATTATTTATTAGTTATCCAAATTATCTACTTATTTCAATTGCCTATTAGTGACAGATAAGCAAATTGAACGCCGTCGTTGCAGTTGAAGTATTATTTTTTATTAAGCCTTAGTCTGTAATATTCTATTTCTCCCTGTGGGATCGATAACTAGGACTCCATTAGAGCTCTATATTACTTGAGTGATACGTATACTTACGTTGACAAATTCAACTTTGACATTATTGAATATTATATCTATACATCTTTATTAAATCAAACATATATATATAAAGTCGTAGTCAAAATTTTGACACCGTTTCTGAAATTTAAATCTTCTAATAGTGTCATCAAATTCTTGTAGTTATCGATTTACAAAAAAGGAAAGGTCGGTCAGCTCCCTAGTTATCCCCAACAAAAGAGATTTACCCCATAATTCATGGGGAAGAAATGACATATGGGCCTTTACTTCATATGGGAACATCCCATGTGAGCACATGTGCCAAAAATGGCCTAGGGCTAGTCTATGACCATTTTCTGGCAGTTAGACGACGTCTTGCTAGTAAAACAGGGACCACATAGAGAAATGCTTTCCGGCAACGTGGCTACGCCATGGTTACGACTTGGTCACATCACCCTATAGGCGTCGCAAACGAGCTAGTGGAAATGCCATGCTCCAAGTGTAGCGTAATTACACCACTCACTTTAATTGGTCAGTGTGGCAACGCCGGCCTCAGGCGTGGTCACGCCGTGAGGCCAAGACAAAACAGATAGGGGATGATCTGACATGACCACACCTGAAATTGGCATGGTCACACTATAAGACAGACATGGCCACACCCATTTTTGAGTGGTCAAGTCGGGCTTATCTGGACTGCCCCCCTATTCGATAGGCCCTACACCATATTCAATTCTGAGAAAGCCTACCCTAAGCAAAAACAATGTTCCAGACTCATCCGCGCTTTGCTTGTATCATGCTCAGCAAAATCCATCTGTTCGTTCGAACTCGCCCGAAGGACGTAATGTTGATCGGCCTTCATTCTAGTGTAAACAATACCCCAATAAATCACTGTTGACCATGTGCTAGACGATCGAAATTGGATGTTTTGAGCCTTGGGAGGTTGCACGTGAGCTAGGGGAGCTGTGTGCCCTAGGTCCTTGAATGTGAGAGAATTTGATTATATATATAAATATATATATCTCTTTTTTATTATTCAGGCTTTTAATTATATTTTAATGCTTAGATTTTTTTGTGTTTTAACCCGCACACGAAATCATATTAATATGGGTGTCCGCCATAGGTAAAATCGACATTTCGGACTCATCCGTGCTATTTGCTTCACAATTTGGGGTCATCTGAATGATGTTTTGCCGACGAGCAAGCAAAATCATAACCCAATTTGCTTGTATCATGCCGAGAAAAATCTGCTGGTCTGGTCCAAGCCGTCCGATGGACGTAATGTTGATCGAACTTCACCTCAGTGAAAGTCAGACTCCAAAACAGCACTCTCGACCGCATGTCGGAGGATCAAAATTAATTGTCTTGGACTTTGAGAGGTTGCACGTGTGGGAAGCATAGATGATGCCAACAAATTTGTCAGACTTTCTCAAGCTTCGATGCTGGCATATTTTGGTGTACAGTATGAGAAAAAGACGTTCAAGACTTTTAACTTGGTACTAAAGAAAACTTATGACCTAGTTTATCACTCTATTGGTTTATCATTGATCTACTTGGGGTGGAACCTACATTCTCAAGAAATAAGTAGGATTAAGAACATATCACCTTAAAAAATACTTGCGAAGGGAAATCCTTGAACATGGACTAGATGTCTTCTTGATTTTCATCGCTTAAAAATTACACAGTCTCCACTTAAGTCATAATCATCGACCATCTTTGAGCTAAATTCTCATTCCTAATGAGGTACATGAATTTTTTTATTTTAATTTAATTTTTATCATGAAAAGAACTACTATAAAAATAGGTATAAAATTTTTGGGAGATGATCCTCCATAATCTCAATAAGCAAAATTACATGACACACCACCAAATTAAATATGTGATACCTTAAAACAGTTACATCAATCTTTCTAATCCTCTTCAAGTTTGCAAATTGCAATATACCATTTTTTTATTATATTGTTTTGATAAGATACATTATATAATCAATCATATAAAGCTTCATGTAAAGATTTTCATTAAATTAAAATTTTATTATATATAT